TGTAAAAACTCAAAAGAATATAGTAGACAAGACACTCGATTCGCGCGCGCCAGTCAGGCTGCGTGAAGTTGATAGTTGAATCATTTTTTAAAATTCTTCAGCATGGTGGACGATAAAAGCACATTAGTTAAGGTCAAAGATCCCATAACCGATGCAAACTTCGAATTTCAGAGGGTAACATTACATTCAAAAGGAAAGCAATGTCCAATAACTCATGAAAATTCAACCGAATCACATCCAACACGTGACAATTTTAAAAATGAATGGTCCACTTTGAAATTTTTTATGAGTATTTTTTTTATATGAGTAAAAAACACAAAACATTCAGCCAAAGTTGAAGTTTCAAGTAAAACACGAAAATACATCTTTTCCAAAACGTGTCATAACTTAATGAAAGATGATCAGAATAGATTGATCCAGATGACAATCTGAAGCTTCTTTAATAGACTTTTGAATGAATGTAGAATATATGAGGTTCATCAAAAAGCCAGAATGACAGCAGCGTGAGAATTCATGGATTGTTCCATAGTGGATTTCTTTTTGCATTTTTCATGTTGAATGGCATTTTTTAATAAATTAATAACTCTGATACTAGAGTCACTTAAAATCTGAAATCTTAACGCCATAATATGTTTAAGATGATTTTGTGGTAGTGGCTTAGAAGTTTGGTAAGTGTCTAATACCAATTCTCAGACGAGAATTCCTCAGAAGGAGTACGGAAAAATACCCTTCGCTCCATGGAAGGGTAGACGCAACGCGAAGGTGAGTGCTACACACCTCTTCCGCATCAAAAACCACTTTTCGATACACTGCGTGGAAAGTGACAATTCAGCACGTCCAGCATGTGCAACATCCGACTTCTCACACATCCCAAAAAAATAGGATTCAATACGGGCGGGAAACTGTCTATCAGGCACTTGTGCAATTATATCATTCGCTATCGGCTCGCGTTTTTGACGAGCCCAAAAAACACTTTTCTACGTATCTTTTCTGGCATCAAAATAAACTATTTTCGCACTCGCATCGAAATACACAACTTTTTCACGAAGCGAAAAAAAATCTCAAGCTTATGGAAGAATTTGAAAAAAAGGAAAGAGCGAGGACTAAACGAGAACGAACCAACTTTCAATGATTAAAGAAAAAAATCGAGAAATTGCAAGAGCTGTTTGTCAAAAGCAAAAGGAAAAGAACATGGAGGATAAAAAACTGAGAAGGGAGAGAATGGAAGCTCAAAATCTGAAGATTGCCAACCCGAGAGACGACGGAAAACCTTTAAGGAAGAGAACTTCAAGGAAATCGGTTCGTACGGTTACCGGGATAGAAGAGGTGACAATTCGTGAGCAGTGACCAATTGTTGCCAAAGAAATAAAACAAGAACTAATTAACAAAACTCTAAATATAAACGACGTCCAAAATGCAACATTCAAGGCCTCAACAACTTGAAGAACAATTATCCCATATTTATTGATGGTTGTGTCATAAGTCGATTCATTGTTTATAAAAAATGTATTTATTGCTATAACAAAGAATTTTGTTATACTTCACTGATGTTTTGATGATTTTTGAATAATTGAATATGACTCAACTACCCTATGACATTATTAGGGACAGGGATGGCAGAAGTGAAGACATTGCGTTCTGAGGGTGGCAGAAATGGGGACATTAGAGTATTGACTTCAATCACTAATTAAAATCATTTTTTCCATAATTGAGCACCAACTGCGTGGGAAATTTGTAAGAAAGACCTTGAACTTTGTCCCGAAACTGAGCAAACTCCATTCAGCATTGAAAATAAACCTAATCGAGGTAAAACAGTGTCGGACTCTATCCCAGGTGGCATTAATGGGGACGGAGACGGTATCACGTCTACCATGGAGGTTTTAAATTGAGCCAAATTTTCAGCACCCATTGAAGCAAAAACCGATGCATTTCGGGTATCATTTGAAAGCTTATTTTCTGGGCTTTCGAATGATACTGTTTTTCAATTGTCGGCATCGATGCGGTCTTTAGTTGTGAACGTTTAAGCATGTGATCATATGAAAGATCTAGCTTGCCTTTCTGCCATACATTACACATTTTTATCCAATTAATGGAGGACTAAATATGAGTATTGCATATCATTTAAAGCTCATTCTTCTAGCTTTCGATTAGCACTACCTTTATTTGGTTACGCCCATTCTGTTCTGATTTATGAATCCATAAATGTCATGATGACGTGTCACATTTCGTGTGATAACGTTTCTGTGACAATTTTAAAAGATTTAAAAGATGAAACAAATTAAATACTATGAAATAATAATAAATGAAATATTTTATAAGGTTCGAAGCTCACTTTCTGAGCTTTCCAATTATATCATGTTCTTTTGCTTATTTCCAGTCTGTAAAGGACTATAAACGATAGGACATGATAAATGTGTGTCGCAATCATTTATTTTATTTATATTTTATTTGTGTATTAAGGATATACGGGACCTACTACGCACTCCGTGCGCCGAATTTGAATTTGGCGGTTCGAGTTGACCAATGAGGAATTAGTCCTGCCCGTTTCAAGATATTTCGACTCGGGCGAACTTCATTTTTGTTTTTACTTTCATAATAAGGATAGTGCGATTTTTGTAATTCAAAAAGAAACCCGTCAAATATTCTAAGGGGAGGGTGGGGCAAAATGGACTGGCGATTTTTTTTTAATTGCGGATAGGATAATTATAGGATTTGTTTTTAGCTTGCTTGTCAACGAGTTGATTCCAAAAACTTGAACGGGTTACGATCATAAACCGTATCCGCCCAACAAACCTCAATGAAAGAAATTGCACTTTAAAAAAATACATGAAAATTATCGAAGATAAAGAAAAAAAAATAGAAATTAAGCATTTAAAATTTAAAAAAACGATCAGTAATTGTTCAATATCCCGCAAATTTTTCGGATTGCTTCAATAGGTTACTCTTTTTGGTGTAAGGATACTGCATATATGATCATAGATAATAAAAATCGTCCTCATGAGCACATGCGTTCCGCGCGCGTCTCTCATATCGCCCTTGTATAATTAAAAAATCGGCCTTCGATTCTCGAGCCAAGTCAGGAAATCTAAAAGTAAAGATTAAATTTTCTACATAAAATAATAAGTTAGCAGACGCAGGAGCTTTAACTCAGTCGTGGAGGGCCCCAATGAATTACCTAATATTAATTTAATTATCTTTACAAACAGTTTTCCGATATTTTAAGTACCGCTAAACCAATATTTTTTAAAGCAAAGTTTAATGTAAAAAGCATTTTTTTTAATTCTTATGTATTAAGTCGTTACGACACGTTACGTTCGCTACGCATTGACCGTAATATTACAGACGAAATATATTGTTCGACACGTGTACAAATATATTGTCCGTTCGCTTCTTCAACTTCGATCCCCTGAATTAGTTCTTGAACTTATATAAAACTATACTTCTAATTATGTGAAATGATAATTATAATATCAAAAACGCCGGCTTCACTAATTTGCTCTGTTGTTTCAACAACCGTTAACAAATAATCAATCAAAATTTTGGACTACAAACGATTGATGTTGCATTTAATTCCGGGATGACCGTTTCTTCTTCGGTTTCCAAATTCTTATCATAAGCAAATTGACAGAAAACGATCCGGAATCCATGTAAAGGGTTGAATTCACATTTCCACACCTAGGTATTATCTTAAACGCCCTATTGACTCAATCTCAGTAACGCCCCAGCGAGTTAGTTCTAATTTTCACAGTGATTGAAAATTTTTTTAACATAATCCAGAGTCAACTACTTTGGTTAAGAAAACAACTCGGCGAGCAAATTTATAGAATGAAATTTCTTTCTGAATCGTTTACTTTATTTTTAGTACTGTATATACTGACCGAGTAAGTAGTTAAGGCATAAGACTGGCGTGGGAGAATGGTGAGTTTAAATTTCCGGGGGTGTCATCACTGGCGTTCTTAATCTTTCGGTTCATTGTCGAGCGGCAGTATCGTAAAAAGAAACAAACAACAGCACTCGAACAAAGATTTTTTCCTCAGATGAGGTTTTGCCTTGACACATGGAAAATGCCGGTACAGAGACTGAAATAGGGGGGTAGGATGGAAGACTCGTAAAAACCTGAAAGAGTGTGCGATAGGAAAGGAATTCTTTTTACTCTGTATACTTTCTAGATATGCAATCAGGTGGAAAGACGCGATTAAAAATTTAATAGTGTTTTGTACACATGTAACTGAAGTTTAGTAATTTTTCGCAGCTCACAAATTATGGGTAGAATTTGATCATTTCCTTTCTCAAGACAAGGACTACCCGACTATTGAAATGATCTATGTGTTTATCCTTTCCTCTCGATCTTTTCGGAGCTGATAAAGCCTCTGGATACGAACATACAGCGAGATATTTTCTATAACCGTCAATCTCGAATTTCCGTAAAGATCCAAATCATTTCCAAACAAAATACACCAATCAATTATTTTTGTATTACTTATGAAGCCTAGATTCATAAACAGAAAGGACTAATAATGAATAGAATAACCGTAATATTTATTTTGTTGCATATCTTCTGTTGAATTACTTGTCGTTCATTATTTTGAATAAATAAATTATGTTGATCATGAAAAGTGATATTCTGGTAATCTATTTAACATGACAGACAGAATGTTCTATCTCTATTTTTGAACTTTGAAGAAATCTGCGAATAGAAAATTAACAAAATAAAAATTTAAGCGTAGGCAATATTCTGAAGCCAGGTTCAGCCCGTCTCAACTACCTCAATAGTTAACTCTGACATTTTCCTTTAACCTTCCAAAATTGGAAGCCTTTTCAATACTGATCAAATATTTCTTTACTGGTAGTATAAAAGAAATGATTCTTCGGAGATGTAAGGATGAAAGATATGATCAAATAAGAAAATACTCTCAAAATGTCAAGACTATAATATGTAAAGATATCTAATTAAGTATATAAAATTCCCGTTTGGGTTGATAACTTAAGTATTGATTTACCATAGCTAAATAAGTAGTGTTTAGCCTTCTCTTTTGATGGCACCAGGTGCCTCGGCGAGGCCTTTGACTTTGAGCCTATCTGCCGTCTTCAAAAAGGCTGGTAATTGATCTTGCGAGACATTCACTTCACCAGCATACATAAATTCGAGAATTGCTTGAAGATGACTATACGCTACGTCCTTAAGAATAATTATTGGATGTTTGGACGGATTTTCCTATTTTAAAAAGATGAAACAATTAATAAATGCGACAAGATTTAAAGTATGGAAGGAAAATCATCCATAGAACGACACTCACCTCAAGAAGAGATTTGAAGTAAGGACTACAAGCAGAAAGTACCATTTTGTGGGCTTTGCACGTTTGTCCATCACAAGCAAGTGTCACGTCAGTAAAACTCTTCTCGTCTCTGAGATGTTTGAATGATGATACCATATTAGATTGGAAGTCATTCCACTTGAGAAAAAATTGCTGCTGTTCTCCCGCCATTTTAATACTTTATTTGTATCTTTCTTCTTACTTTGATGCTGTCTCAATGCTGAAAGCAGTGCCAGGCTTTTTAGGTTAAGGCATCTACACAATATTGGTGTCCATGTGCTAGAGACAAGTCAACCACACGAAATAACAATATCTTAATGAACATGTAACGATTCTAGGAATAAAACGCACACTGTCAATCAATTAATCTTAGATTGTGATCTTTCAAACGATGATTTTAGGCTGTAGGAGGTACACGTTCGTAACTTTCATAATTCCCTCAAAGGACATTCAAATCCCAAAGAATGAATTCAGCGATACATTGCCTGGGCAAATAAAATACAACTTGTTTAATTTACCTTCGATTAAGAGGGAAATTCAAGGCTGTTTCGTCTTTGGATTTATGAGTTCCTTGCACCCCTTGTGTTCTAATCAGTAACAATATGTGGATATGTCCAGTGCTGAATTTATGTATATCGAGATATGCATACTATACACGTGTGAAAACTTTTTATCGAGCTGCGATGAATTTTCCTCTCTTTTCCAATCCAATCCAATTTTCGTCTAATTCCACGGTAAGAAGAATTTAGGGGACGGATTCGATGTTTTTCAGTTACAATCAGGGTTACTAGATGCGGAGAGTATCTTGAATTCTTGAAAGAACCGATGCTATATCAGAGATAATAGGAGAGATCAGGAGTGCTTATGGTGAAGCTTCAACAGCTGTCGCTGCAGCGGCGGCTACAGAACTAAAACAGAAGCCGTACCTGTGAATAAAGCAGGGCACCAAGTCGAGAAAGTCGATAACGGCATAAAAAGAGGAGAGATAGAATTTCTAAAATGACACATATTCATCGGCCCTTCCAACCTGCGCAATCTAGACAATCTAACAAATATAATCTTCGATTCCAAATATAAGTTTTGGGTTGGGGTACAGTCAGCCCGAAATTTTTTAGTAAGTCCGTGGTAGACCCCAGAAACGTAAAATCACTGAACTAGAAATGCGCGCGCATGATCACCACGAGAACTTGATGTTGGCATGAAATTCACATAATGAGATGTTAAAATTCACAGGATTCCAATTCAGTAGCCATGAAATGTAGCCAGAGTCATTATCAGATAGAATACTTAAGAAACTATTTGTTTTATTAAGCGGTCTGTTAAATGGAAAGAAAATTGATCATGTATTTCAGCTTACATTTCGAACGATGCTTTCAATAATCATAAAGCTATGAAGATTTAAAATGAGTCGAGTTGAAAAAAATATGTTTCTTAATTGACGATCTGACCGTAAAATGATCTTGACCA